TTATATAGAGATACACACACACACACACACACACACACACACACACACGTCTCCTACAGTGAATTTGGCCAGGCCTTGTAACAGAGGCTGGGCTGAACCCATGTGGTTGATGTATAGATCAATGTTTGGATCCCACACCATACAAGGATATCCAACTAGGCCACACTTTGGAGGGTAAGTGAGCAGATGAAATTAATGGGCCTGAATCCCAATTCGAACTGGCTTAATAAGATTAATTAAAATGGGGCAGTTTTGGGATTTAGATCAGCAGATAGGATAAGGGTTGTCCCTATCCACTCAAAGAGTCCAGATCCAAATAAAAGATTTGGATTAGGAAACTCCTAATTAGATTAGGAGGGCTGATCTTTATCTGCAGATAAGATAAGCGATTATCCTTATATCTTAAAAAGAATCCAGATCCAAATACAAGATTTGGATTAGGAAACTCCTAATGGGATTAGGAGATGCTCTCTTTAAAGGCTATAAATAGAGGAGCAGGGAGAACCTTCAACAAACAATTCTCAGATCAGAGATTACAAAGAGAGAAGAATCTGTAGTTTGACTGCTCTTGTCTTCTACTCTTTCCTGCTCTTGCCGCCATACCAGTTCGATCTTCACCTGTGGGAGTGATCAAGAAGAGTTCTTGATATTTCCTTTTGGTAGAAAAGGTAATCAGAAGTTGTGCTCACTAGCCCTCCATTAGATTCTTGCTAAAGAGCCATCTTGCTAATTATGCTTCATCGTGCACCGTGTCATTTTCGGTGGAAGCAGTCTTTGGACCTTTCCTTGGGTGTGAGCACCTTCATTAGAGGTTATTGTTACTTCGTATTAGGTATAACCCTCCACTCCCTTTTGGTTTAAGATCTGGTCTGGTTTAGGTTCAAGATTGATCCTTGAAAATGCAGTTTTTTAAAATAGGGAATGTGATTCCCACGTAAGAGAAAGGGAATTTTTTGAAATTTCGGCCAACCTTCCTACAGGGTTTGGCCATTCATATGATGGATCTCTCATCCCTTTCAGGTCACTCGTCGAAGAAGTGGTGAAGAGGTTGTTGGGGTTTCTCTTCTCTCTCCATCTTCTGTGGCTTTTCGGATTTGAAGTCGGCACCCAAAACAAAGCAGTGCTGCTCTTTTTGCTGTTTTTGCTGTTTCGAAATGTCAGTAAGGCTTTGCAACTACGGCTGAGAGTAGTCACCTTGTAAAGCAGAGCAGCGCCTCTGTTTGGATTGAGCTAGCGGTGTAAATCACCACAAATTATCAAGCAATGAATCCAGTTCACTCCTATCAGTTCCAGAAGTTTCTGAAAAGAAAGCACGCTCATCCACCTCTCCCTTCAATCCATGAAAATACCTGTTCTTTTTGTTCAGATAACCAAAGAAAAATTAGTATACCATTGTTGGGTTTTCAAGAGGATTGACCCGTTAATCTTGTAATTTTGTTCTATACAAACCTATAATCTTTGTCAGCCTAAGAGTAAGATCCAGAGTCCAAGAACAAATGGGTAATGGAGTTGTTTAGAAGCAAGAACCCATTGCCAGGAGGTCTGGAAGAGGACGAATGGGGATAAAGGAAGGGATGATGTGGGATGTTGTAATAAGAATGGTGTTGGTGATTGGTTTCAACAGCAACTGATGAAGAGAGTGAAGGAAGGGACTAAGAAGAGGAATTTGCAGAGGAGTTGTTGATAATGGTGGAGGGGTTTATGGGTATTGATGAGATTGTTGTAGAGGTGTTTGCCGTAATAACTTCCATAGGCTTTCTTGAACTGTTTCTAGCCATGTGCATGTGTCTCTTGTAGTACTTTGAATCTGGGCATACTTTTTTCGAGCATCTCCATTTCTTTCCATCCGTTCTCCTGCATCTCCCTGGCTCGGGGTTTGCTTTCCTACCAAAACTCATCTCAAAACTACCCCACCCAACTGCAACAACAGATACCCAAATCCTATTTTTACCAAAAAATATATATTAATAAGAAAGATGCACTAAAAAATCGATTCAAGACAAGGGTAGTATGGGGATTAAAAAATATTGTAACGGGTGTATTTCAATGGAAAGCTAACAGAAGGGGGTCCTTTGTCTCACGGTCATAGTATAGGGGGGTCTTTGTCACGAAACAAAGTACTGGGGGGGGGGTCTTTGTCACAGACCCCATAGTACAGAGGGGTCTTTGTAATTTACCCTAAAAAATAATTTAAAATGAGAACCTATTTTATTAACAGTATTTTATTGCAAAAATTACTGAATAATAACGAAAAAATACTAACAATTAATTAAAAATAAGAAATTTAAATATACAAATATTAATTGACAATTTTAATAATATTATTAGATAACTTTGTATTAATGCATTTTTAATTAAGTAATAATTTTTATGAGTTGTGACATTTATTATACATAATGAACTCATTAAAAAATGACAATAATTAATGAGACTTTAAAATGTAGAACATGTTTTATTAACGATATTTTATTGCAAAATTACTCATATGAAAAAATTACTAAATAATAATGAAAAATACCAACAATTAATTAAAAATCTGGAAAATCTGAAAACCTAAGCATAGTTAAAATACTAAAAATATTGAACATTAACAATATTTTTTATTAATAAGGGTATTTACTGAAAATAATTAAAAAGTACAATTAATAGTATTTTATTATTAAAAATACCAAAAATTATTAAAAAATACTCAAGCTAGAAATTATTGAAAATTAATTGTATTTTTATTAACTATGTTATTTATTTAATTTATTTTTACTAAAAGCAATTGCAAATTAATTTTGTAGTGACTAATATGAAAAATAAATGCTGAAAATACTAAAAATTATTGAAAAATACTCATATGCAAAAATTAATGAATAATAATAAAAAACACCAAAAGTTAATTAAAAATCCAAAAGTTCTGAAAAACTAAAGCTTAATTAAAATACTAAAAGTAATTAAAAAATTAAATTAATTGTATTTTATTGCAAAAATATTGATAATAATGAAAAAATAATGCATTTTAATTATTAATAGTAATATAATTAACAATAATTATTTTTTAAACTTTAATTAACAGTAATTATAATTTAAGCTATAAATAGTAGAAAATTACATTTAACTAAAAAAAGTTATATTTAATTACCAAAAAATTACATTTAATTTGTTTTAGCCAAGAAATTAGAAATATTTCTAAAAATATGATAATTTCTAGAAATTACTATATTTTAAATAAATATAGTAATTTAATCATTACAATATTTTAATAATTAATAAAATGCAAGAAATCATTTATAACTTAAGCAACTATTAGATCTATATATTTGCAGGCTCAAGCAACTATTTTCTTTTGAGTTAAGTCTAGTTGAGATATGCACCATGCCCACACATTATCAGGGATAATCAGATTCGAAGTCTAATTGGGTATCAAACTTTTAGAGATCCAATGATGGTTTTAGCAGATAGGGCCCAAGCTAAATAATCCATAATAATCTCAATTTGGAAGTTATATGCATATATGGTAAATATTATTATATAATATTTAAATAATAAATTTTATATTAATATATAGAACTGCTATATATTTTTTTTAATATACTAGAATTAAATAAAAATTTTAATTTGTAAAAAATCATAGTTTTATAATTAACATGACCTCTTTATCAACAGAAAATGTGCAAGCTTGAGCCTGAGCCTGGCCCGACCATTGGGCCTAGATCTTGAGCCCAAGCCCAACCCTTATATAAAGCCTAAAACTCAAGCCCAAGCCCGAAACCCGATCTATACAAAAAATGTCTTATTTTCAGTATACTTTTATAAACTAATATTATATTAATTTATTAATAATTTAATAAATTAATAAACTAATTTATATTTTCTAATAGTAAATTGATACTTATTAATAATTTAAGAAGCATATATATATATATACACATTATATTTATTATATATAACATAAGTATTTTTATATATGAAATAGTACCGGGTCGGGCTTATTTGAGAAAGCTCAAGCTCGAGCCCACAAGTCTAAAATTTTGTCCAAGCCTGAAAAATAACAGGTTAGGCCAGGCCGGGCCGTCGGGCTACTCGGTCCATGAATAGGTCTAATTGTATATATAAACAATTGTATACATAAAATATCATATGAAATAAAAATTTAAACATCTTTTTCAATTTTTTTTTAAATGGACCTCTCATAGATTGGCACGGTCCACAACCTAGCTTGGCCCATGGACCAGCCTGGCCCACAGCATAGCACGGGTTCGTGCAGGCTCGAGCCGTGGGCCGTGCCGAACCAACCCCCCAAATTATCCCAGGGGAGGGAGAAATGACCCACACTTTGTGTGAGCCACATGTGGGTTATGCCGTGCCAACCCAGCAAGACCCGATTTACACCTCTACTTGCACTTGCCCAATACTAGGGACAAGGTGGAGAAATTTGAGAATTCTCTATCCTTGATGAGGAGTGGGGTGCCTTTCCCCTAAACTTGCTTGACATTAGGGAGTGGTTACATTGCCTTGAACCCGCCTGACATTGGGGACAGGGTAGGGATGGAGTAGAGTGTCTTGAATATGGGGCAGAGACAGGGATGAAGTGCCCCACCCTGAACCCACCCCGTTGTCATTCCTAATTATTAGTAAAATTAATAAAATTGTTAGCTTTTGTAATTATTTTTATTTATTTAAAATTAATGAAAAATTCATTTAAAATAATAAAACTAATAACAATTATTAAAATTACTACAAATTATTAATAAAACTAAATTTATTAAAAAATAATTAATATTAAATTAACAATAGTTATTTTCTGTAAATCAACATTAAATGAAAAAGACATTTATTAAAATTTTAAATATTAACAATAATTTGAATACTTTTAGTTAATTAACAATAAATTTTAATTATTAATTTAATATTAATTAATTATAAATAAAATTATTAAATCTTTCAAATTTTCCGTTATGCTGTTGTCATATATAGCGATGGTAGGTAAGGACGAGTATGGTTAGGTGAGAAAATTGAAAGTCCCCATACCATACCAATTAGGAAAGGACGAGAGAGAGAGAGAGATATGGATCATTCGTCTGCTTCACCCTCAAACAAGAGACCAGCTGTGGACGCACCGCTCCATGCCATCGGCTTCGAGCTCGAGGAGCTGTCACCGGAGAAGGTCACCGGCCGTCTAAAAGTGACTCCGAGTTGTTGTCAGGTGAGAATTGAGACCGAGATGCTCTCTTTCCCTTTCTTTCTCTCTCTTCCTGACTTTGCAGCAACACTTTGTTTGCTGTAATTAGTTCATTTCTTTACTCCGTTTTTGTACGATCTGATTTGGTGAACGGAACGATTTCTATGATAATCTCAGCCATTCAAGGTCTTACACGGTGGAGTGTCGGCTCTAATAGCCGAGTCACTGGCCAGCATCGGAGCACACATGGCGTCCGGCCTCCAAAGAGTCGCAGGGATACATCTGAGCATCAATCATGTCAAGCGAGCCGAGCTGGGCGACGTTGTAGCTGCAGAGGCCAGACCAATTAGCCTTGGCAAAACCATTCAGGTGAGGTCCCTCCCTTCCCATCTTCTCAGCTCTTCCCGATCTTTTATTTCAATTCACTAATTACTCGATTCCCTATTCTTATTTATTAAAATAAAATGGGAAAAGTACAGAGACACACGATGCAGAATTATTTCAGCCCGTGAATTTGGTATCAATTCACGGTCAGATGCATTCCCCTGTACTTTGGGCCTAGTAAATTCTGAGCTGAGCTAATTTGTATTTCTCCCAAATAGAATCACCATTAGCTAAAGGAAGATATCCGGCTTGGTTTTGTGGGACGGAAGAGTGAAGATTCTTCCACCTACCACACTTCAATCCCCACAAACAATGTCTTCATCTTCACCATTATAAAATTCACTTTAGACCATAGAGCGCGCCTCAAAGCGCATCCCAACCGAGTTCGGATCTGCTACTAACAGAGCGCTCCTCACAATGCTTCTCAGCCGGCAGCTCACAGCCATACATCAATAACATCTCCCACTTTGTGTTATTATTCATAGGGGGAGATGTTCTCAATACAAGTTGAGATCCTCTGTCAACAAAACTCGTTCAAACCCTCTACCAATTTGATCTAACATTTGTGAGATCATGTTGGTAGAGTTGGAGCATATTTTGTTGGCAGGTGATTTATGCATGTAACCCGCTTCGTCATTCTCCTATCAACAAAAAAATCCCTTCCAATATTTCAAACATGATCCATATCCGCACGTCACATGTATAGCGGGTCAAAGTCTTTCAGTGGGTCTCACACATGATAGATCCAGACTCATGTAGACAATAGCAACAGAGGATTTTAACTTGTATGTCCCATGGGCTCTCCTATCTTCATGTGGATGGCAAATAAGACGGACAGAGAGAGAAATGTTGAATGTGATCATAGTTTGTGATGCTGTCCAAACCGAGGTAGAAGGACGAAGCCATGTAACGAGACCTACAACCAGGAGAAAGGTCAGTTAGACACTCAAGTCAGTGGGATCGAGAAGGATGTGGCTGGKCTGGGTAGGTTGAAATAGTGTTGGTCTGGGCCAAAGAAATAGTGCAAAGAAGTGTTCAAAGAGTGCAGTTCCAAAAAAGGTCCCTTACCTTGAGCGGGGAATACCTATTTATAGTTGGGTGTTTGTGCCCCAAATGGATAGGGCTTCTAGGATATTGAGATGAGGGCGTCTGCCGAGGTCTTCGGGAGGTTTTCTCTTCCCCGGCAGAGTCCGCTTCCTTGTTCGTAGAGGACACTCCTTAGTTGTGATCTTCCGTTACGCCTGGCATCGACATGGCCTGAGAAGGGGGTAGGCCGCGGAGATTGCCATGTGGCATCCTTGGCCAACTCAACCATTACCCGAACACTACTCCCTCTATTCCGAAGTTGATGAGTGTAGTGCTCGGCCACGACTGGGCGTTGAAGAGTTCTGCGGTCCTTGACTGAGGAGCTTTAGTTTCTTCGAATTGACTGGCCTAGAGTAAGGCCGGTTTGTCCATTCATACCATTTCTGATACAGGTTAGCAGATGCATCGTTTCGTCTTCCTGAGGTCTTGCGCATGCGAAGGGCAAAGTTGAATCGGTGTCGTTGATTTGGGCTGATCTGAACCATTGGTCCCCCTTATAAAAGGGGAGGTGGCGAGTCATTTTACTTTGTCATTTTGAGTAAACGATCTTAGGAGCTCAGAGAGAATTAGTCCTTAGCTGGTGCTTTAGGTGTCTTGTAGTGTAACTCTTTGATAAGATGTCTTCACTTTCCTTCTCATCTTCTTGTTCTTTCTCTTCATCTAGTTCTTGTGTGTTGGGTAATGAGTCCGAGTCGGGGTCTTATTCTGAGGCCACTGCGCTCATGGCTCGTGGGACCAATGCCTATGGGGCCAAGGTCGATGGGCCTGAGGGTGAGGGTGTTGTGGCCCTTCGAGAGGTCGAGGTCAGGGAAACCAATGAGGCCGAAGTAGACATTGTATCAAAAGAGGGGCTTGGCATCCTTGCATGGTTTATTAGCTGCTTTGTGTCTTTGCCTTGTAGGTTGACACCTAGGGACTTGGCCTGAATTAGGGCCCTTTACTATATTCCTGAGGAGTATGAGTTGATGTATCTAGGTATTGGTGAGAGGGTTACCTTGGCTTGGTTGGGGGAGCTTTGCATTTATGAGCACAACTTGATAGTCGGGTTGAGGTTTCCCTTGAGTGAGGGTATAGCAATGGTGTTGAGGTGGTACGACATCCATGAAGGGATGGGAGATCCATTATATGGATGGCTGAACCCTGTAGGAAGGTTGGGCGAAATTTCAAAAATTTCTTTATCTCCCATCCGGGAATCGTATTTCCTAATTTAAAAAACTACATTTTTAATGATCATTCTTGAATCAAAATTGGACTAGATTTGAAACCAAAAAGGGAAGAGAGAGATATGCTTAATATGAAGTAACATTCACACCCAAAGAGAACACCAAAACATGCCTCCATTGAAGATGACACAGTGTATAGTAAAGCAAGATTAGCAGGGTGGTTCTTTAGCAAGAACTTGAATTCTTCAGTAAGAATCGAACAAGGGTTAGTGAGAATGACTTTAGATTGTTTTTTCTAGCAAGAAACAATATCAAGAACCTTTCTTGATCAGTTTCATAGGTGGAAATCGAACTGGGTAGGGGCGGCAAGAACTGAGAAGAATTTTGCTAGTTACTGAATGTGTTTAAACTGAGAAATTCACCCCTATTTATAACCTTTTTTGGATCAGCCTCCTAATCCAATTAGGAGAGAGTTTCTTGATCCAAATCTGATATTTGGATATGGACTCTTAAATGTATAAGACTTATCTTTTCCTTCAGCTAATCCTAATCAGTTTATAAATCAAATTTCACCCCTTTTAATTAACTGACTTAAGCCCAGTTCGAAATGGGCTTTAGGCCCATTAAGTCACATAGCTCACTTACCCTTTAATATGCTGGCTAACTTGGCTCTCTTTGTATGGCATGAGACCCTAACATCGATCTACACATCAGCACATGGGTTCAGCCCAGCCTTTGTTACAAGGCCTGGTCGAATTCACTGTAGGACATAGTGAACCCCTGAGTCCATCACCATGGGCTCTTAATGGGCCCAACATTTACACTAAATGGTCATTGGGTCCAGCCACCTTATGAAAACCCAAGGACTGTGGGAAGATGCAAGATTAGCCCATCAGGTATTAACCCTCAATGGTCTTACACTTAACATCTCAGCCCTTAATGATCAAACACTGCTCGACAAGAGAAGACCTCTCCCTCGGCTGCAAAGTACAGTGTTGCACTCTCTACTCACATGGATCCCGGGAATTAAAACCTTTTTGCAAACAATTTGAAACCATAATATATAAGTATATCTCTATATAAATATATTTTGCAAAGCCAAATTTCAAACACATTTGAAATCCACTACCGACAGTTTAGGTTTCCATCAGAGAGAGTGCATTCCCCGATCATCACTTTGTCCGACAAAGGAGCTGATCCTGTCATTATGATCACCCACTCAGATGAATTCTCGGGCTATCCCAACATACCTAGGTTTTGACCCCCTCTAAGGATCTCACTGATTGGCATATCAAAGACAACCCAATTCGACACTTAGTGCAGTACCATAATCGATTCTAGGGATCAGGTGTAACATTCCAGTTTTGCCCATCTATCTCCAAGGTCCAGGGCAATACTAGAATTTGGTCTGGTTTAGGGTTTCAAGAAAACCCATACTACATGTACCTCAAGTCTTACCCTGGCAGCTAAGACAAGCCACCCCAACCAACTTGGTGGCACATTAGTGTCAGCTTTGGCAGGATAAATCTCCCCACATCTATCCAACGGCTGTGAAGATTCTAAACTAACACGAGTCTCATAAGTGTCCACTTTAAGTAGAGGTGTAAATCGGGTTGTGCCGCCCACGGCCCAGCATGACCTTGCGGGCCGTGCTGGGCCTGGGATTTTAGGTCCACGGGCTGGCACGGCCTAGCCCATAGCCCGACCCAGCACGACCTTTGGCACGACCCATATATATATTATAATAATATAATAATATATAATATATAATATATTAATAAAATATATTTTTTAATTTAATTATACTAATTTATTTAATTATTGCATATATAAGCAAATTTATACACCAAATTCATATAAAATTAAAATTTTAAGTTTTTTTGTCAATTTTTTAAATAAATAGTTTTGGCCCAATACACGGCCTGACCCGACCCAAGGCTTGGCCCATGGGCCAACCCAGCCCATGGCACGGAACAGCACAACATGGGCCCACATGGGCCTGGGCCATAGGTCGTGCCGGGCCGATCCCCAAATTTTTCATCAGGGAGGGTGGTACAGCCCGTGATGGCCCGCAGGCCAAAATGGCATGGCCTGAACAAAGTGCGAGGCCGCACACGGGCCATGCCGTGCCGGCCTAGCACGACCCACTTTACACCTCTAAGTTTAAGGGTATTACATAGAAACACATTAAATCGCATGAATCAATTATGCACTTTTGTTCATTTATAATAAATGTTATAAAGTACATCAATCTGATTGGAGCTAAGGGCATACACTGTCTAACAGTCCAACCAATCCAGCTGATGCCCAATTCCTTTAGATACTTGGTTAGCTTCCTTTGTTATTGCTCGGTTTACAACATAGACATCACTCTACCAATGCTCACATACTTTTTGCACCTTAAGAAGAACCAACGGGGCTATTATTACTTCTTAGCTCGGCAATACAATAAGGTGCTCGTTGGAGTCCCCTTCGACTGGAAGGAGGGGTTCTTCTTTGTGTGCTACTCAGGGGGTCGATCGTTCCCCACCGAGCTGTCAATCCTGAGGACCAAGGTGAAGGCGTTGACTAAGGCTAAGTTGTCTAGGGAGGAGTTAGTGACCATCAGGCATATAGAGAGGGTAGACGTGTAGGAGTACACATCGTTCTCTATGTTGGTCTGTACTGGGTTGGTGGAGCCCCTGACTGGTGTGTCCTTGCTTTTACAAGTGTCTTTCCTCATTTCATTTCTTTGGC